CCCCCCCCCCCCCCCACACCAACGACACTGATACCGACACCGCAGCTGCCGATGACTGCAGCAGCTTTTTCGGATCCAGGGTTCATGAGATTGGGATGGGGGTGGAGGCAGGGCCTTGCATGGGTTGATTTACCCCAGGTTATTGGGGCAAATCAGCCCATGCGATTGGGACATCTGCTGAGAGGGAAACGCACCCTGCTTGGGTTGACTCTGAGTATAGGGATGCTGATATATGAGGCCTTGTGGCACTGTAATTAGAGTGGCTCTCAGAGGCAGGGAAGAGAGAGAGGGAGGGGGAGGAACAGAAACAAGCATAGTGAAGTTGGACCCCAGGAGGGGCTGCTGTTAAGGCAGGGCTGATACCTTGGAGCTGAGGTCTTAAATTAGCGGACCAAAGTGGAAGGTGTGGTCAGAGAAAAAGAGGGCCAAGGCTGTTACAGCTGAAGACACAAAAAGCCCTCAGAAGTCTACAGGACCACTCCCTGGGGATAAAAGCACTGAGGGAGAACAAAGGCTTCAGGTAGGGGCTGGACTGGCCAGGCAGACAAAGCTACTTGTGAAGTTACCTCTCCCCCAACAACAAAACAAACATTAGACTCATAGCAGGTGAGAGACAGAAGGTGAAGTGGCACTGGGAAAGAGCTGTCAAGTGGGGTCGACCACAAGGGTGAACCAGGTGGTAGGGAGTCCTAAACCCTGCCGTGGGATAGAGAGAGAAAAGTTATAATTCCTCCTCTGGAAAAAACAGCAGTTTTGATGATCATCACCAGATATACGGATACACCACATTAACAGCCCTATGTTGCCTTGTTCTATTTTTTGTTACAACTTGACAATGGCCTCACTTGTTGTTACAATGGCCATACTTATTGAGGGGCTCTCTGAATGCGGTGAACCTCTTACTGAATCTGGGCCAAGTTTACAGTAAAGTTGACAAGAAGTATGGCTGTAGGTGAAAACATGGCAAGCAATGAAATGGAATAATTGTCATTGTCATTTTCTTTCCTGTGTGTGTGTGTGTGTGTGGGGGGGGGGGGGGATATCATGATGAACGTCTGCTATAAGCCACCAAACCGGGAGGAAGAGGTACACAAGGCCTTCTTTAAGTACCTGGTGGAAGCTTCCCAATCACAGAATCTGGTTCTCATGGGGAACTTTAGTTATTGGGACATCTGCTGAGAGGGAAACATCAGTGCAAAAGCAGTTCAGCAAGTTCCTAGAGTGCTGTAGCCTCACCAGCACAGGGGGTAACAAGGGCATGAGCCCTGGGCACTGACTTAGAGAGGATGCCAGTTAATACCTCACCCCCTCAAAAGTCTTTCCTGCAGCAGACATAGAGTTGAGCAGTTTATCTGGAGTTTGAGGAGAGTGGCATGATGCCCTCCAACTCTGAGACTGCCATGAGAGGTGCAGCCTTGGCCCCAGAGGCTGGGGACTAATGTAGCACCAGGAACTGCTCCCAGGAGCCTGCACCACTGCCTGTTGCTAAGAGACAAACTACAGCAATAGTAGCTGCCACTCAAGTGAGGAGAGCCAGGGCAAGTAAAACTACCTCCCTCTCCCTTTTCCCCCACAAATCTCCAGTGGCCACTCCCCAGTCCTGCCCTAAATGCTGAAAGAATTTGTTACCATTTTTTGGAGTGTACTGTATTGGGGATAACTTTTTGATGCAGATGGTAGACAGAACAAATAGAGGGCAAGCTCTTCTTAACTCCTGTTTATAAACAGGGAAGAATTTGTTTGAGAATGTGAGGGTGGAAGGTAACTTGGGTACAGTGACCATGAAATAATACAGTTCAAGATCCTAAGTAGAGGAAGGAAGGAGACAAGCATAATAAAGACACTGGGCTTCAAGAAATCAATAGGGAACTGGTGTTTGGATCTCCTGAGAGGCAAGTCTGAGGGTGGAAAAGGAGTCCAGGGGAGCAAGCTGTACTTCGAAGAAGCCTTCTTAAGGGCACAGGATCAACCTATCCCTATGCAACAAGAGAATGGGAAATACAACAGGAGACCAGCCTGGAAAGACAAAGATTTGAAATCCAAAAAGGAATCCTATAAAAAGCAGAAACTTGGTCATAGTACTAAGAAAGATGATAAGAGTGTCTCATGGGCATTTAGGTGCAAAATTAGGAAGGCCAAGGCACAATTTGAGATGCAAGTGGTGAGGGACATAATAGGCAATATAAAGGGATTCTACAGGTGTGCAGAAGCAAACTAACAAATGACAAGTGCAGTTGGCAGCAAGGACAGGGAAGGAGACAAACAAACTAGAGTAGTGGCAGGACATGTTAGGGACTACTTCGAGAAGTTAGATGCTTTCAAGTCAGTAGGCAGAGATGGGATGCACTGTAGGGTACTGAAGGAATTGGCTGAAATAATTTCAGAGCCATTTTTGAGAAGTCATAGAGATCAGGTGAGGGACTAGATACTTGGAAAAGGACAAATATAGTGTCCATTTTTAATAAAGGGAAAAATGTAGATCCAGGATGCGACAGAGTCTGTCTGCCCTTGATACCCAGAAAGATCATTGAGTAGGTCCTCAAGGAAGCACTTGGAGAACAAGGAAGAACCAGCATGGATTCAGCTAAAGCAAGTCACAGCTGACCAGCCGTGATAAGCTTCCTTTTGTGATAAGCTCTGTGGTGACAGGCTCTGTGGATAGGCTAGAGCAGTGAATGTGATATTTTTAGCACTGAATGATATATTTTTTGACACTGTCTCCTATGACATTTTCATTAATAAGCTAAGAAACTACAGAACAGATGAAAGTACTGCAAGTTGGATACTTAACTGATTGGATCACCATGCTCAATGAGTGCTCATCAATGGCTCAATATTTAGTTGGGAGGAGGAATCAAGTGGAGTTCCCCAGGGGTTTGTCTGAGTCTGACATTGTTTGATATATTCATTAATGATTCGGACAATGGGGTTGAGTGCATGCTTAGCACATTTGTGGATGACACCAAGTTGGGTGGAGTTGCAGGCACTCTGGAATGTAGGGCTATCCAGAATGACCTGGATAGACTGGAAAAAAGGTCTGCAATCAACCACATGGGATTCAGTAAGGACAAGTGCCAAGTCCTGCACTTGGTATAGAATAATTACATACATAAATACGGGCTGGAGAAAGATAGGCTAGGCTGCAGTACTACAGAGAAGGACTTGGGGGTTATGACAGACCATAAGAGAATGAGAGTCAACAGTGTGCTCTTGTTGCAAAATAGGCAAACAGCATGCTGGTTTCAATTAACAGGAGTGTCATTGGCAAACTGAGGGTAATGATTCTCATCCTCTATTCATCACTGGTGAGCTTGACTTGGAGCCTGACCCGTTTTGGGCTCCACACTTCAAAAAAGATGTGGACAGATTGGAAAGTGTTCATCATAGAGCAACAAAAATTAAGCATATGCCTGAATGGATGATTTATGAGGAAAGGCTGAAAAAACTAGGGTTATTTAGTTTGAAGAGAAGACTAAGGGGGTGATTTGATAGCCATCTTCAAGTACTTGAAGGGCAATTAAAGAGACATTGGTGATGGACTTTTCTCTGTGGCTGAAGGGGATAAGACTAGAACAATGTCCTCAAGGTGCAGTAGAGGAAATTTTGATTGTTGATTAGGCAAAACTTGCTGACTATGAGGGTGGTCAAGCATTGTAATTGGCTACTTAGAGAAGTTGTGGAATCTCCATCCTTAGGAAATTTTTAAAAGTAGTTTCAACAGACACTTGGTTAGGATGGTTTAGTCCAGGATTATCCTGCCCTGAGCAGGGGCCTGGACTAGATGACCTTGTCCACCCCTACTTTTCTAAGGTAAAAACACCAAGAAATTTCTGCAACCCAAACCCCTGTTTCTTAGTTTTGCTTGATGATTCTGGACTTCTTTATATGAGGAACAAAATAGTGTCATGTCTCCAACCTAACTTGCAGAAAGCCAAATGCATGGTGAAATCAATGTGATTTAGC